GGGAGGCCATGCGTGCGTTGATACTCCCATTTTCCCCCGAACGTCACGGCCCGATCGCGACGGTCTGGGATGACTTCAAAGGCCTGCGGGTTATGAAAAAACTGCTTTGAGAGCAGGCGATCTTTGTACTCCTTCGTCTCAAAGTCATCCATCGTGGTGTGCTGCGTGTATCCAAATCGTTTATGCTTCGGTGTGTAGCGTCCCTGGATGAGGGACACCCAATTCTCCCGTTTAAAAGGCGCCTGCCTGAGTTCCTCCAGTCTTTCTTCCGCAAAGTCGTTACGAAACGGTGTACGCCACGAGGGAGGATGCATTAACTCCTCCACGCCCTGCTCGGTGATTTGGTACGTATTCCGTACATGCTCTACCGTCCCAATGGGCTCGGCGACGCTGCGGTCCATTTCACTACCACCACCTCGAAGTAAGCGCCACTGTACAAATAAGACACCGTCACGAACGCCGACAATTTGTCCAAGAGACTCTTCACGTGCGGTACGCCGTTCCTCCAACAGTGTCACACGTCCCTTCACATGTGGCGCGGCAGCGGCGTAACGCACAGATGCCCACCGCTCATGGATCTCGACACAATCCGTGCCAAGAAAAACAATTCCATGTTCCCGTTGTAGTGCTGGATCAACATGCATCGCACAAAGTTGCCACTCCGAGTCACTGCCCTCTTTACTTACTCCCAGTACAATAACCTCAAACTCGTTTCCTTTTACCGCCAGGACGCTGTTCGGATTGTTATCATTCTCATCACTCTTCCTTGCACGAATCAGAAGACGATCACCATGTTCAAACCCACCAAAGAGGTGACACGACTCATTTGTTGTATCAAGAATAAATTGTTTACCATGCACTGGGTCATTGTATGGCACAGCATGGGGCGAGGGATATGTATGCGTGACAGACTGAAACACAGCACCTGACTGACTGACTCCAAAAGGTCGCAGTGACGCCACACTCGTGTCAAAGACATGATAACCGTCCTTATCTGGAAATATAATACTACTACTAGTACTAGTATTAGTCTCCGAGGCGATTTTACTTTTAGATGCAACTTCCAGCAGTTTGACCTTGTCTGTATGGAGCCTTCGTTCTAGTTCTGCCGCCTTGGCTGCGCGGCCTGCAATGATGGACTTCAGATGCAGCATCTCCCGCCACTCGCTACCTGTGTACGCCTCCTTTGGAAGTCCTGTCGATAAGAAAGACTTTTCAATGCCTTCCTTCACCTCACGCCAATTGATGACGCGCTTTGTCTTTGGATCCACCTTGTACGGAACGATTGCGGAGGTGTCAATTCGCCACATGGCGGGCGGCACACGCACCGCCCCTTCCTCCTTTTGTTGTCGTCTGTACTTGTTCATCTCCATGTCAATACGAAACTGCAATGGTGAAAAAGGCACCTTCTGCACTTCGCCTGTGTACTTTGCCGCGTTACTTTCCAACGTGAAGCCATTTGTAAGGAGATGTGGATGGGGCGTCGTATCAAGCAGACGGTCATACGACTCCTGCATTTCGGGTGTGATGCATATGGATCCCAGCAAGAACTCTTTGCTCCCTCGTAACGCGTTCATAAAGTCAATTGCTTTCCCTCGTTGCTTCGTCTGTACGTATACACGCAACAAGGCCTCCGTTTGACGTTGAGTGTGTTGGGGCGTGCCAAAGTATGGGTCTTCTGTTGCGCGGTACCACAGTGCCTCCGCACGGCGTGCCACAACGGCGTACCATTCACGTCCCCATCGTTGATGCGGTGCCCACCGTCCACGGTGTTTCCGGAATGGCGTGTTCGCGTCGCCCTCACCACAGTAACGTGTTGTGCTGTATGGTAGACTACAGCGTGGGCAGTAGTCCTCGTGCACATAGTTTGACTCCATCTCAAGAAAGATGCCAAAGAGGTCCGTCAACTCGCTCGGACGCGCGGCATGAAACTGCTCAAACAAGTACGAGTCGCCAAAGTCAAAGCTGCTTAAGGCATCATGAAAGGCCACAAAAAACTCGTGAACATGTTGCGTATGGCGGGACTTAAATTCTCCAATGTCCCCTACCGCGTCGTAGTGAAGCTTAATGAGGTACTGTAGGCGATCAAACCACGCCTTACAGTGATCAAAGCTTTTAATGTCGCGTATTTTCATCAACTCATCGCCGAGAACCTCTGCCGTGAGCGGGCTGCGGGGATTCGAAAGCTGCGACCCGTGTGTCCCGGCACGATAGAGTGTGTAGTTCCACTCCGGCTCATAGTGCAGGTTTGTTATCGCCGGACGCGGTATACCCTTATATCGCTGGTCGGTGGTCATTTCATAGGCAGAGATATCATTGCTGCCGTCCGTGTTGTTCGCCTCAAACCCGTGTGGACGACCGAGAAGTTGATGCAGTTCCCGCTGACCAAAGACGTATCCGCGAAAGAAACGATTGTTCGATGCGTCCGTGTCGGTTTCCCACAGGTTCATATGGCGTGTGTAGAGTGGGGTGATAAAAGGTAAACCGCGTCTTGACTTCTTGATATTTTTTTCGTTACTAAAAATGCCATGCCTCTTTTCATGGATATAAAACGGCTGCCGCATTTCATCATGTTGCAACTTCGTGGCGTATTTGAAAGAGAAACGCCTCTGTAACACAAGGGAGGAAAAAACAGGCGGCTCCTCCTTGACGGGGCGGACACATCGGCCGCCGCTAGTACCACCACCGTTGCTACAGCCATGACTACTAACAAGACGACGCAGCATCTCCTCTTCTAAATACACGCAAAGTAAAGGAAAAAAAAAAACAACAACAATCAGCAACACCACTTGCTTCTTCTCTTCCCGTGCGTTTAAGTACAGAGAAATGGCGATGTGGAAAGAAAAACAAACAAACAAACAAAAAAGGGTGCGAAAGAGAGAAAGAAGACAGAAGAATACATGCAGAAATGAAGTCCACGACACAACATGAGCATACATGCATCCACTGGCAAAATGGCAGGAAGTGGCTCCCTTCCGTCTCCGTCTCAACTTCTGCAGACGCCAAGCCCCCTCGCCACCGTCTTCTTAGTCCGAGCACACATATGTTCAATCTCAGCAAACAAACACACACACAGAAAGAGAGAAAAGTCGCCCCGGCGTGGCTACCCGACAGCAACGGGGCGAGGAAACAAATTCCCCCCCGTGACATCAGACAAGGGTAGGCCGCACCGTACGTGCCGCTGTTATTAACTCTTGCAGACCACGACCACCACTGGCCTCTTCGTCAATGAAATCAATGTAACGAATGTGACAACCCCGAATAACAACGCTGCTGGTGCACCGCAAGGCTGCCGGATCCGTTTCCCACTCCATTTTCTTGCCACCACCACCACCACAACGACGACGAACGGCAATATCTGTGATGGCGTCTAACTTCATGTTCATTGTCACCGCGTCAAGTTGTAGAATACGTCCTGTTAACACAATGCCGTTCGTGAGCTCCACACGCATCAGCGAGTGCTGCACATGACCTCCGGCAGCCAGTACGGACGGTATTGTCTGCACCAACGCCCCTTCCATCTTCCCACAAAGGCAACCGCTCTACGCCACCCCCTTTTTTTAATATTACACAAAAGACTCTTTATGCATGTGTTATATATGGTGACAGGAACAATAAAATAAAGAAAGGGGAGGGAAAAAAAGAAAACAACAACAACACGTATAAAACTTTGATTCAAAAGCACGGTAGATACATATCGCAGCTGTGAAACAAAAAAAAAAAGGGGGAAAAAAAAATTTAAATAATAAATTAAAAAGGGCATTGTGGAGGTAAAAAAACAAACAAACAAACAAAAACTGTCCTCATAATCTTCATGCATCATCACACTCTTTTCAGTTCCACTTTTTTTTTTTTTTTTTTCTTCTAGTATACATGATCCAACTGCCATACCTGCTCTCCCCGTCAGCCTCTCCTTCACAGAAGACAAGAAGAAAGCATGAAGAGCAAACAACTAGAAGCAGAAGTAAAAAGCCCGTATAAACTTGTAAGTGTGGTAGGGGCAAACAAAAAGGATGTAAAAAACAAAAACAAAACTGCATACAAATCACCAAACCCTCCTTTTCTTCCTCTTCCTCCCCTCAGTGATCGCCCCTGTGGTACCGAGTGACATGCTCCTTAAAAAAAGGGGGAACCTTCTCGTGGAGGGGTACTGTTGGGTCAGGGTTATGGTACTGGGCGATCACGCACAGCAGGTCGAGCCATTCGGTAAAGAAAATGAGACCAAACTCATGCTCCGTGTCCGGACATATCGCAAAAAAGGCGTCTTCAATCACAGAGCTCGTCACACGACGAATACTGAGCCAGTCAAAATCCTTTGCCATACGTTTTACATCCCTCACGGTCATGACACGTACGATACCTGGATTGCCGCTCTGCACAGACGTCATCGCACCGGCCACGAAACTATCCCTCTCTTTTTGCTGGATACTGCTTCCTGGCTTGTCGAGTACCAATCTCCGCATACTTGTTTCCATATCTGGTATCTTTGTCGGCATTCCATATGCCTCCTTAGGGGTCGTGTAGATTGTGAATAAACTGAGAAGAATATCGATATTGCCATGATGTGTTCCCTCAATGCCGGGTGACGCAGGGCACGGTGAAACGGATCCAGTGTCGGACCACGAAAGCCATGCGAAACAATCCACTCATGAAAAAATTCCCGCACTGCAGCTGGTCGCAGCGCCCATGTCATGTCACACGCCTCATAACGGATCTCCTTCTTCTCCCCCTTTGCATCCTCCACAGTATCATCCGCCTCCGCATCTGTGAGGACGTCGGACCCTTTCCCCGGAAGCGAGGCTAGGGATGCGGTGTTGGTGTCAACTGCCGACGTCTTCTTACAAAATGCCTTCGATTCATTTTCAATCTGTCGGTGTCGCAGGCTATCCCACGCTTGGGCGCAGCGTAAAAGAATCTCAATAAACTCCGCTGCATTGAAGCGCAACCTGTACTGTGATCCTCGTACATCACTCACCGGGGACAGCAGCGCTGAAAGAATTCGCCTCTGTGCCCGCGGTAAATTTTGTCCCTCACGGACCCGCCCATTGCCAGCAGCTGCCACGCTGGTTCCAAAGACATTCCCAAGAATTTGACGTAGAATAGCGCGGTTAATTTTCCCTGGGCCACCAACCACACGGCAGTCTCGCAGCAGGTTCCAAAAGCCAATGGACGTGATATAACGAGACCCAATATTACTACTATTACTGCCGCTACTAAAATCACCACCACCGTCAGCGGTCCTGTCTTCTAGTGAGTATTGCAGGAAGAGGGCACTTAGTTTTGGAAGAGCATTTTCTACAACCCGCGCGAGACGAAGAAAGAAGGTGCCCGATGTGATCGCCTTCTTTGGAAGAATGTCGGAAAGCCGCTTCAGGGTCACGTTTTCCAAAAACTCGGGTGACTCTCCCTGCACCTCCATGGGGACGAGGGTGTTAGGCTCCAGAGCGACGTTCAGTGCCTCGTGCAACGCACTCAAAGACGCGGCAATCCACTGCCGCTGGTTCTGCACTCTCGCAATCCAGTCGACATGATTCTGCGGGGGGTGGTACCACTCAAAATACTTCCGGTCACGCACACCGAGGTGGCTGTCCACCGTGGGTGTCTCCTCTTCCTCCTGTTCCTTCTTCGGAGCCCCCAGTAAATCCATTTCGACGGTGGTTAATGTTGGGGCTGTGGCAAGTGATGGGCGCTTATCCTCGACAGAGCGTTGCTTCCGCACCTGGTTCTCCATCCAATTCGAAAAGTGCCGCATCAGAGCTGCAAGAAATAAGAGTTGAATCCCACGCTTCCTTGTCATCAACTGAGCCCCTGTCACAATGCAAGTGCCGCCTGTGAGAGCTTCGTAGGCCTCCACGATGGTGTGTCCCACGACTACCTCCGACTCTAATATCGCGGCCGTTTCCGGATCCTTCAGGTCCACCGCCTCGGCGTTATTCTCCATTTTTGACCGCAGAGACCGAATCCGCATTTCGGAGCTGCAAACCATTTTGAGATCCTCCTTGCCTGGACCGGCTTCGTAGTCCATTGCGCGAATGAGCGCCAGGAAGCAATGCATCGGCAGGTTCACCATTGGCGTCTCCGTCAGCAGCGGGTTAAAGGGAAGATCCTCTTCGGCGACTTCACTCACGTTAATTTGTTGCTTGTTTTTTTCTTTGCTCGCAATTTTGTCAATGGCGTCTACAAAGTCCTCGTCAGTAGAGGAGAGAAACAGTGGGCCGAGGGGGCTCTCCAAAAGTGTTGTGTTGGCCCACAGCACGAGCAGCTCCAGCGGGGAGAGCGTCTCTGCCTCCGCGGGGAACGGCGTCTTGAGCAGCAGCGAGTCCAGCAGACGGCTACCGACCCGGTCCATCTCCCGCACGCACTCCAAAGTATTCTTGTACTCCTGTTCAATCTCGGAAATACGCTTCCCGAAGAGGACGTGGAGTTCCGCTTTCGATTCGATCTCCGCGCTCAGCCGCGCGCTCTCCTCCGAGAGGGCGTTGATTTCATTCTCGAGGCTCCGCGTGCTCATTTTCAAGGCTTCAATGCGTGCCTTCATAACCTCCCCCGCCTCCGCCCCTTGTAGCCGGATATTTGCGTACACACGCCACCGTTGCACACCGAATCGTATTCTTTCCGCTGCAAACCGTCGTGCCCACCTGGCGCGGTGCTTCTGCTCATTCTGCCGCCGCACGAGACACAAATGTCTCCATGCCCTTAATATAATGCGCAGTAGGAACTTAACCCAGTTCACACTCATCAAGGCAAAGACACGTGGAAGACGTTTAAAGTGCTGCAGGCGGGACACATTGGTATGGGCGTGAACAATCACCTTTTGCGTCAGCTCGTGGTGGGCAATGAAGTACGTCTTGCGTGCGTACCGGGCGAGCAGCGTGCGAGTGGCAGGCTCCAAGGGGAAATTCTGCAACATGAACGGGTACGCCAGCGTTCCCCCAAGCGCATCTCGCATCTCCGGCGTGTCCGGCACATACACAGCACGAAGCAAAAAGCCCACACACGGCCTGAGAATCCCATGTCGTGGGAGCGCCTTCACAATTTCCTCTAAAAGAAAACAACTCGCGGCCGTTTTAAGTGCCAGCAGCTGCATCTGATCGTAGCCGTCCTCTACAATGGAAGAGTTGCACCGCACCATAACACTGTAGAAAAGTTCTCGAGCCACGTCAACAACCGCCCGTGCTCTCGCCTGCTCATCGCGGTGCGACAAGATCCACTGCCTACATAGCGCCAGCTGCTGCTTCTTGGGTCGACGTCCCTGATCAATCTTGGGAAGACGACATCGCGTCCGTTGACTCTTGCCGTCATCCGCCCCACATTCCTTACCACTCTCGGCACTCATGACAGACATTTGTGCTGACACCTCCCGACCCTTGGGTAGCTGAATAGGAGGTAGCAGCGGCGCATGCTCTTGTTGCGGCTTCTGCTGCTGCTGTTGTTGTTTTTGTTGATCGTGTGGCACGGAAGTTGTTGTGTCTACCGACACCATGCCTTTGCTGACGGCACTCCTCATGGCCGCATTCCCCGTCGTCCCCAAACCATCCCACGGCGAGTCAAGCCACGACATGTAAACACACACACACTCAAAAGGAAAAAAAAAAATCCAGACGTGTCGTCCTTCTTACCTAAGCGCCTTCGCCCTCGTACCGACCCACACGGAACGACTTCACAGGAACACACACACACACAAAAGAAAAAAGAAAAATCAACAAAAAGAAGATAAAAAGAGATGAAAGTAATGGAAAAGCCCTCAGCGTCAAAGACGAGAAACCTGAGAACAAAAACAACAACAATAAAAAAAATTCTCTTTGCTCATTTCCACCACCCCCAACAGTATTCACAAAAGACAATGCTCATCCTTCCACGCAACCCCCTTTTTCTTTTTTTCTTCTCGTTTTTGGAAATGTCTTCTCAGCGGCGATCAAACGCCATGACACCGGAGAAGCGGCCGTTGCGAAGCCACACAGAAGATAGGCCGTTCTTCACCAAGTGATAGAGTCGAAGGGCAGAAACACTGGTGGAACGCCAATGATGACATGCAGAATTGGGGTGAAAAAGGGGCAGGAGATACGGGTGCATGTCAGCAGCACCAACGGACTCGTTCACGGTTTCATTCGCGGCAAACATCACCAACCTATTACCAGGCGTAAATGAATGACTATGCGTCTTGGCAGCCTCAGGGCTATTTCCCTCGTGGCTGAAATAGACGACACGCATCGCCACAGCCAATTCCAGGTACGTATATGAGCGACAGAGACGCGGAAACAGTTCAACCACAACACTGCCCGGTTGCATTGCCACCATCGAAACCAATGCCGCACCGTGCGAAGTGATCAAAAGATCGGTCAGCGCCAACAGTCGCAATACTTCAAGGTAGTCGCCATGCGCAAGGGACACAACCACGGGACTCATGTCAGCACCCTCCGGCCTGCCGCCATACATGTAGAGAAGTTGAATACGACTCACTCGTCCAAACTTCTCGTGCAGATACAAAGCCATCTCCCCCACGTTATACTGCTCAGTCGCACAGGGTAGCAACACGGTGATCCGCAGCGGACTCGCTTTGCGCAGGGAAGACACTTCCGTCAGTGTGCGAGACAGCGTAGCCGCGTCTGGACTTTCGCCGTAACGACAGTCCGTTGGCTCAAAAGAGGATGTGTCCCCAAGAAGAAAGCCAGTTTCATTATCACCACTACGAGCCCTCTTTGTATCACTCCTCACGGCGTCAATAATCATACGGCGCAGCACCGGAGAGAGTGGTTGCGCGCCCCACATGGAAGTCACAGCTTTAACTGGATCTGAAATGAACGCCTCTGCTCGACGATGCCGATGATGTAAGTACTGCATCCATCGCTGACGGAGGCGGTGTGCCAACGAAGTCGAGGGAAACCAACGAGATAAACCCACCTCCGTCCGCACGACATACGCGTAGCAGCCCAAATCACGCAGCGATGATGACACCACTGACGTGGACGCCTGATTCTTGCCGGTTGACAGTCTCACCACCACGTAACGAGTGGCAGCCATGTCATCTGCAGCGCTTCTATGATCGCTCCACCATGGCGACAGTCGAAAATGGCCCGTCACCACACGGATCCAATGCAGGAGACGGGTGCGGTAAAAACGGGCCCTCTCCACATCCTTGCAGCGATCACCGCCACTACCACCGACCGCTAAGATTATGGTGTTCGTGCGCGGAACCCAAACTTTCTTCCCCCCTGCTGTGTGCAGAAAAAGGCGTGACTCGCCATGACTACCCAACGGCAACTCCCATTGCTGTAGCCACACAAAGAGAGATGTCAAGTCCCGGCTCAAGACTCCGGAATCGTACCCGCCGTGTGCAATAAAAAGAACTTCATCTTCTTTTACCATTTTATTTCCTAAAGGCCGATAAAGTTGCAGCCGCGTCCCATTTCCCGCAAGGCATACATCCCGGTGAAGACGATACCCACCGGTTTGCAGCGGTGTCCCTGCGTCATCCCGCATCTTTACGTTAATATCACTCGCACCATCGGCAGCGTCTCCTTCTCCCTCTTCCTCCTCAGTGCCACTGTACGGTATAATAAAGGTGGTTAAACGCCCTGTTGGGGCTATCGGCAGCATGACACCAGGCTTGGCACCCACACCAACCATAGCACGGCCTGAGGCGGCGTTAACAAAGACACGAGAAGCAAAGGGGGAAGTATTAATTTTTCTATTCCTGCCTGAATAAGGAAAAAGCGTCTGCCAGGTCAAGAGCGAGAATGAAAACAAGGAAAACAACACCATGAAAAGGGTAAACCAAAGCCGCGGCAAGAGCCTCCTCGCACAAAACCACAGCCGACCACCTGATGAATTCCTACGCGTGAAGGCATTCCTTCCTATCTCCCTTTCCATCTATGTGTGCGTGTCTTTCTGTTTCTGTGACAGGGGAGCGTAAAACAAACAAACAAAAAGAACCAATGCAAAAGCACGCTGAGCAAAAACAACAATAACAACAACATTCAACGACAATAACAATAATAACAAAGGCTGAAGCCACAAACAAGCATGCACATAAATGAGAGTAAAGGGTCGCAGCAAAAAACAAAACAAAACAAACAAAAAACACCAAACCGCCATACGGTAAAGCAAAAGTAGGAATACATATATGGACATGCATGCGGACTTTGAGATTCATCATTTCTTTTGTTTTCATTTTCTTTCTTTACCCCCTCTTCCTTTTCATTTCATGGCCTCTCACCCCCTTTTTTTGAGTTTTTCAGGGCGTCCAACAAGAGCGACGTCAAGTTAACAAGTGAGAAGGAACTCAGTCTGCGCCAGCAACTTCCCACCATTCGACCCTTTCTTGCTGCCCTTTCCTGCGCCGCGGTGGCTGAGAGCCGCTTGCACCGCATCAAATATTTCCGGAGCCTTTTCCAACAGTTGGGCTCCCAATTCGCAAAACACGGCAAACTCCAGGTATTCCGAGCCAAGCCCATAGACCCACATCTTCTCGTAACATGATGAATGATTTTGGTCCTTTTCCTCATGACGACCGGCGTAGGGGTGATTTTTGTGGTGTGCGGACCAGCGTGTGGGGAGAAACTCCCGATGACGCATTAGCATGCAATGCGGCTGGCGCTCCGCCTCATCCCATGCGCATTGAATCGGATGGGGATCGTTACTAAACACAACTTCTGGGGGATCCGTCCAGGAAGAAGTGGTACTCTCCCGATCCCGCAATAACGCATTTTCCTCCTCCGTTCGATTTTTCTTCTTTTTGGTCTTCCTACCAGCACCGTCAGTATCATGATGATGAGGGTGACTATTATTATTATTATTGTCGTTACTGGTGGCGTGGCGCATGAAATTCCTGCTGAAGACATGAAAGACCTTATGAAATACCTTTGAATCACGCTCGAATGATTTGTAGGGGAACTCCCTCAACTGAAGCGTAAAGTGCGGCTGCCGGGCGTTGTCTAGTAGGGACTCCGTCAGTATGACCAGCACTCTCTTCGCCTGTTTCGGGGTAAGAAAGAAGGGCGGGCCACGTCGTGGTTCATCAAAGCCAATGGAGGTCGGGCGAGAGAATTCTGGTCTTCGTTCATGATCTTTTTTTGATACATGCCTGGAAATAATACGGGACCAAAGTTTCCCTACTTTTTCGTTCCTACTGAGTTCATTTTTTTCACCACATTTTAAAAAAAATATTCTGCGACATTGCAGGCTCAGCCGCTGAAGACACGGCATCGCACACTCATGAAAAAGCAGGCCGGCCAGCATCCCAAGCTGTGGAAGAGATGAAAATGTCAATCTGTAAGAAATGTCAACAGCAGCGATGGAATTCCTTGGATTTGTCAAGACGGCAGCAAGGCATGAAAACCAATCCGGACCAGCAAAGTAACAACACCTGTGCGGTAGCTCCATAGGATCATCAATGGCGGTCTGCAGATACGCACAAAGTGGCTCAATCTCACCCAATTGGGAATTGGGCAAAAAGGCACACTGCAAACTGTGAATAATGCCGCTCAATCGATAAAACTCATCGTCTGCCTTTCGACGGGCATCCATGACGTCCTTCAGCTCCTTCTCTAGAGCCATGGCCTCCAGCATGGATCTCTCCCAGAATGCCTCACCGTCTTCCCCCTCAAAAGATAATGGAGGTGGTAGGTAGGGCGTCAGAAATTCCAGTTTTGTTTGCTCATTCATCATCGGTTCCGTGACAGGCACATTCCTCTCATTTGTTCCTTCCTTTTTTTCGTTTGGTTTTGCTGTTCGCGGTACATGTGGGTTGTCGCCTTTCGCACGCGGGGTCAAGAAACCTCCTTCCCGCTGCCGTGCCGAAGATTTACACTGGTCGACTTTTGGAACCGACTCGTGTATTGCTCTTGCCGTTGCTCTCCTACTCCTCTCTGGTCTTGGATGCTTTTGTAGGGATTCTATGGAAGATGGCCTCCTCGCTGTTTCGCTTGTTCTCTTGGATGTAATAAGGCTGATGTTTGCACTGCTTCTCAGTGTTGATTTCGAGACGTGACCATCACTTTTAAAATATTGTGTCATTGGACGACATGTAAACAATACGGTGGGAACAGAGAGACCGCCACCGGTTTTGGTAGAGAGATCTGAAGAGTCTTCAAAAGGCGAAGCTTCCCCAAAGTTATTCTCCATTCCTGGAAGGCCACCTCTCTCAATACCCGCCCCACAGTCCGTGCTCAGCTCATCATCATCATCCTCCTGATCCTCGGATTCCGTAAACAGCTGCATCAGTTGACAATTCCAGTCGGATACCAACCGCAAGGCGGGAATAATACCTACAAAACTCTGTACATACACCGCAAGCGGCTCGGCCAACTCTGGGGTGGAGAGTAGATGCCGTGCCCATGAATGTGCAAGCTTCATCACTGTTTTCAGATTTATCCACGGGGTCAGTGTGGGGCATCCTGTATGCGTGCCGATCATGTCTGAACGAGGGGATTGTTCCTCCGTCTTGGGGTAAGACTCCCACTTAATCTGCATCCCACCCACGCAGTACGCAACACGGTACAATTCAAGCTGATTGGCGTCATTACACGACTTGTATTCGAGGAAACTTCCACCGTTGCTACATTCCATACCGGAATTATAACAGCTGCTAGATGTCACCCTTCCTGCCCCATCACGGACATGATTACTATTGTGATCTCGAGGAAACGTTGTTATTTTTGACAATGCCGAAATTTTCTTTTTTCTATCGGACCATTTTTTCAATTTAAGCGCCTTTTCCAGCTTCTGCAGAGCCAAATGACTGGTGCACTCCACAACGAATACCCCACCGTACATGACACGTGTTACAATTCCCTCCCTAAATTGTTCTCGAACGCATGACCTCGCGCCATTATATTTGATAGTGTTGCACTTATATTGTTCCTCCCTCCAGCGAAAAGGATCAATGGATAGATCAAAACTGCTGACAATAATACCTGAGAGGATCGTCTTTGGCGCGTGTGATTGCTGTAATTCGGAGGATGAACACATGTTCGTCGTGTGACCCCCCGTATCTTCTCGCAGAGGAGACGCCTTTTTCTTTTCGTCAATTGCGGAAATGAGCTCCCGGACCCCTAAGTTCAGCTTCTGTAACTCCATTTTTCCCTGCGTCCCATAAACAGAGGCGCGTGGTACATTCGCTTCTATATTGGCAGTCGACGCACTCTTTTTGTTGTTTTTGTTGTTGTCAAGGGTCATGTTAGCATTCCCTGAGCAAATAGTTGCATCATGTAAGGGCGATCCATCCATGTCTACAGTGGTCTTTTCCAACGCATTTCCGCCAAAAGATGTGGAAGCAAAGGGCGACAGAAAACTTGTCGGGATGAGCTCCCCACCTGCCTGCAGCTCTTGTATGTGACTTGCCGGCAATGCAAGACAATGACAGTAAAGACTGCTCCCTGGAAAACGCGTCGAATGCTCGGCGTTTCTCGGACTCCCTAAAGAAATCTGCGAGACGGTGGACGAGAGACTCTCGGTTAAAAGAACAGGTGCAAGCACTTTGGTTGTATCAAATGACGCATTGAACGTCGCGTGACTTTCTTTCAATCTAGAAAGTGGAGACCCGGGACTTGTTACATTCGTAAAAAAGGAATTGGCAGAATTCGGCTGCGTTTGTGCCACAGCAATGGCAATAGAATGAATATTTGGTGAAAAGAACTCTACACGATCCCATCGTTGGGCATGCACACCCATACAGGGATTCATCTTACGCTTCCGCAGGAATGACGTACCCTTTCCTGTCGAAGGCATCTCCGAGAGACGGAAGGCAAATAATTTCTTCGCCCCAGGATACCCACATCCTGTCGCGGCGCCATGATCTACATGGGCGCTACAACTCCCGACATCAGCGTCATTTGGAGACCCGCTGCCGGAGAGTGGATGCATATGCCCGCGCATTCCGCTCAATTTGCATGCCCCCGCACCCTCTCGCGCATGCGCGGGCGCACATGAGGTGGAAACGTGCTCACCGGTTTCCCCGCCCCCAAGGTGCGGCTCCGAGAAAGTGTGGAGTAAAGAGACCCAACGTGAGTGGTGTGGTAAAGCCCGTTTGCGACGTGCGGAGCGCGTGCGGCGTCCATCTAAAGGTGCAAGCGACGACACGGTGATTGCATTGGGTGAAAAAATTGTCATCGACGACCCATCCTCGCGTTGTGTAGAGGTCCACGCAAAGCTGGTGCTTGTTGTCGTCTCCTGCAGGCTCACCGGGACGTTGCGCACAAGTAGGGTGGAGAGCCGCTCCATGTCGTGTGTCTCCCAGAAGCGTCCCAGCAGCTCCCGGTGAGACGCGGCAAAGTCCTTTTTCGTACTGACCCATCGGACTTTTCCCCTTGTCACATGCTGCTCGCCCGCGTGGGGGGTATTGTTCCCCGCGTCATGCACTTTTTTTTTCGCGGAAACCCGCATCGTAAGTTCCATTGCCGTGGCGCTGGAGGCGTTGCAGTGTTCGCCGAATTTGCCGGACTCCCCGTATTGTGCCGCCGCCGCCGCCTCCTGCGGGGCAACGGGCCGTTTTGCCACGGACTGGCGGCAGCCCATTTTTATGTCTCCTCCTCCACTTTTCCTCACACCCCACCCCAAACGGCCTCTTTCTTTCTTGTGGCCTCTCCCACCTTCTCAGTGGGAAACCCACTCCCCTCTCTCTGCACACACACACAGAGAGAGAGAGAAAATGGGAGGTTATAAGAGCAGTATCGCCACCGCTACTATTCCTACTCCTACTACGTCACAACACACACTATTCCGGATATATATATATAACGCTATAAAAACAGGAGAAAAACAAAAACACAGCAAAAAGCAAAGTAATGCCTTTTCCATGCAATCTGATTTAAATGTTAAAAAACAGAGAGGCACCCCAGTGAGTCATCGCTTACAGAAGACGCAGAAAAAGAAAAAGAAAAAAAAAGGAAAATAACTTCATGACGAACGCATAGACGCAACCAGCAGAAAAGACAAACAACAATAACAACAACAACAACAATACACATCATCATCATCATCCGCGTCAACGCAGGGAGTCCGATATAAAGGAAAATACCGACGAATGTGTAATTATGAAGGGGAATTGACATGACACGTGGGGCACTAAATCAAGGATATGATCATGATGATAAGTGAATGCATGCACGAGTGAAAGTGTGGAATCATTCATTTTTAACCCGTCGTGCCAAATTTACTCACTTTTTGCTTCACCACCGCCTTTAATGAATTATTGCTGGTTTACTGCCCACACACGCCACCATGGCTTCACATCATTCTCCGATGCAGCTAAAGAGGACCGTGGGACTTCCACTCCAATCATCTTATCTGCGGTATCTATCAGTTGCTTCTGTACATTGTTGGCATGGAGCCGAACAAATTCATTGCCTTTTCTCCAAAACTCAGCGCGGTACTTCACACGCATTTGAATCTCATGCGTTTCCTTTGCGTCCATGCGTTTCGCTTTTGTATACACCATGAAGAGCGGCACACCAATAACCGCAAAGAAAATCCATGGCGTGTGAATCGCCATAAAGTGACCCTTCCTTTATTCTCCACCTTTTCCCCCCCCCTCCCTCTCTCTCTCTCTCTCTCTCTGACTGCCACACGCACGGCAACACTACCAGAATGGAAATGGGATATATATATGTGTATGTGTATGTATTTGTGTGTACACGCCTGGGTGAGAGATGCCCTGTCCCTCTATTCCTACATAAAAGGGAGAAATGACCACAACAAAGGGAGATGACACTTCGGGAGAAGGGTGGAAGTCCAAACAAAGCCGACATCTCCTTTTACAGTTCCAGAAAGGCGGTTTGCCCAATCACACACACACACACACACACAATAAAAAAAAATTGTGCATATTTACGGTCCTCAACTGCCGGATTTCCTTCAGTAAAATGATGTTTTTTGTAGGGAGTAAGTGGGATTGGGAACCATGAAATAATAATAATAAAAGGAACTGCACTCGTTACTGATTACAACGTGAATTCACCAAAAAAAAAAGCTATACACTTAGAAGCAAGAATGCTCAAATGAGCTGCACTCGCACACACCCCTATCAAGCACGCTTGTGACTGTCCACCCCCTTCCTCCCACCAACGTTCAACAACACCAACAGCAAGCCCAGCAAAGAAAGTAAACGCCCATAAAAGATGCACAGATAAGGGGGGGGGGCATGTGTATCCCATGCATGCAATTTGCCAACCACTCATCACCACACCGCCTTCAGTGACACCATGAACAAAATAATAAATGGACTGTATATATAAAAAAGAAAAAAACAAACACGCATACGCAAAAATATACCCCATGCAAAAGTCAACAGCCGCTGTGCCCCCAAAAGAAGAAGAAGAAGAAAAAGGGTTCAGCGTAAATAAATGAATATGAAAGTGAGAATGTTGATAGAGAAATCCGTTCCTTTTCATTCGACCAATGTATCTTCCTTTTTTTTTTTTTTATAAAGACGGTGAATGGCAAACAGTAAAAATCCCTGAAGGTACATACACACATCTGGGATAAAACATTCCAATAAAAAACCTAAAATGCGTCTTCTTCGTCTTTGATGGGGTACCGAACCACCCTCGGGTTGCGGCAGCGTACATACACACGGGGTCGATGCAACTCCGTAATGTGAACGACAGTTGGGCAGTTAATCCTCCCAATCGCCTCACCATCAAGTTGCATACAAAGGGGTGTGTGCTCCTCGACCCCCTCTTTTCCAGCCAACATCTCCTCACCGTACCGCGGGTTTTCACGCCTGGAGATGTCTGTTGGGTTGCAGAGGACGAACGCGAACATTTCCCGTGTCTGTGCCAATTTGGAGGCCCCCTTGCCAATCCCCAGCTGTAGTAACCCCATCTGAAAAATACCCCCGACAGCCTGCACCTCCATCTTATGATCATTCACACAGACAGGAGTGATGATCATTGGCTGTGCAAGATGATCATCACGATACAACTTACCTTTTCCCTCCTTCCATGGACGTGTGCCTGCAGCGTACGAACCAACGTTCGTGACAAGCAACGTCTTGCTGCCTTTTGGCAACGACAAGGTCATCATGGATTTTGTCTCCGTCGTCTGTCCAGAAGATCTTTGGGATGCCTCTGTGTGAATAGGGGAATGCTGCGCCAATTGTGGAACACATATCTGTGGAATGCATGGGCGCAGAGATGAACAACGGGTCCCAGCCTTCAAACCATACACGCCATACACCAGTTTGTTATTCATTCGTGTCGAGCAAAACTTCGGATGTTTCCTTCTAAAAAAATCAAATTTTTGAAGCACATACGCATCAAAGCCTATGCTGAAATAATTGATAAAATTATATTTCCGGCATGTTTCATCGGCCTCCAATGCATCCCAGTCCAATGCGTATAAATCCACCGTGTCCTCCGTCACCGTCACTTCTTCTTTTTTCCCCTCCTCTTGTATCTTCTTTTCCTCCATGTCGCCCCTTGGCGGATTCACAGATAAAACGAGTTCTTCATGTTTCGTCCCTAACGTTAAATGAGGTGTCTGTTTCTTTTGACGCTGCCTTTCCTGCTGCTCCCATATGGCCGTGAGTGGCACCAGTTGTACTCTCCACCGGTCAAAAGGAATCGCGGGGGCAGTGACAACGTTTCTAATAAGCGGCTCAATGGCATTCTCCATGCAGCAACAGAGACACGAGAGTTTATGACGCGAGTAGCCGTTACCAAACCCCACACAGTTGGAGTAGTCATTGCCCGTTCCAATTGCAAGAACCGCCACGGCGGGGAGCACAAAACGCGGTTTTAAAGCACCGCCCCTAGCCCTTGCGCCCGCTTCAAAGGAACCCCTCTCCGTCCGCTGCATCATGTCACGCACGGCGTCCAGCTGCTCCATGACAAACGACACCGTGCCGTCACCACCACAAACAATGACAGTGCCACGCCTTTCCAACCCCCGACTGTAAACTCCATCGCCACGAGCATCCGCGTCGCTGTTGCCACCGGCAGTGACTCTCGTCAGGGCTGATTTTTTTCTTTCCTGAGAAATGGAACGTACGGCGTGGCGGCGAATAGCCTCCAAAAGCGGGGTTGGGTCCGCAAAGAGCGCCGCGTCAAGCGTCACTACACGATCCGCTCCAATAACCGCACGTACAGAATCCAACACGTGTTCTGCGACGCCACGTTCCCCTGAACCGGGGTTTACAATACAGAGTACATACTCGTATTCGGGGTCGCCATCCCTAGGAGATGTCATGGGGCGATAGTCCGTCTTCAAATTAGCAATTTCCACAGAATCGTACCCCCTACTGGGGGAATTAACCATCACCGGCAGTGTCTCAAAGCCGTTCGGCCCGTTGGACGTCTCTCTAAACTGCATGCAACCATTCCCATTACCTCTGGGAACTTCTGCAGAGCCATTTTCGGTACAATTTCCTCCTTCTATTGCTGAGTAGCAGCTCAGGGAAAAATTTTCTGGCGGGCATTTTCCCAAAGGGTGCTTCTTATCGCCTTGTTCACAGGCGTGCAGAATATCCAACGATTTCGTTTGCATCTTCCACAATCACCACTAGCCAAGTTTCTGTAGTAACTAACCAACTATATATTTATGTATAATTATTATATATAATATATATGTATATATACGTATTTATATAAGGTGTGTCTATTGACGAAGAGTGGCTCAATTTATGAAGTCCTTTCTTTTCACTTTCTTCCCCTCCTTCACTGTTTCCTTTTTTGTCTTTCCACCCCGACGTAAGATTTGCGTCTTGGGAGCGCAATGAGACCGTCGCACAGAGGGTGAACGGAGAAAACAATTGGTGAAGGGGCTTTGTGTTCCTTCCTCACAAAAGGCATGTTTTTTTGTTTGTGTGTGTGTGTGCACAAAGCAAGCCACAGAAAAAAAAAAAACAACAACACAAAATGCAGGTTCCCAGTGCCTCTACTCACACAAAGGAGGCAGGGGAAGAAGTCCGCCGGCCAATTTTTTGCCTCCCCCATCCCCTAGCAATTGAATAGGAAATAGACGTAAAATACACACATACACACATGGAAAATACATAAAATTAACAAAAAAACATCCACCCAATAACACGCCCACAACACAAAATTGAATAAAAGACAACGATGAGAGAAAAAAAAAAGGGGAAGGTGTTAACGCTGCAAGAGAATCACAACACCTGGCATGGAATAAGTCGAATAATAAAACATTCTATAAACACGGGCCGAGATGGGGAAGGAATAAAGGGACCACCCGAGGGCCGTCGTTAATTGGCGCGTCATCATCACCCCTCCACTAGCACCGGTCCTTTCTCTTTCCTTCCCTCCCACCCCCTACCCATCTAATGAGCTGAGAGAACAACAAAGCAGCGCGGTTTTCTTGAGTAGTTTCGCTCCTCAGCCAGACCCAGAGTAAGGTCAAATTCTGTCTGACGAGAGAGTGCATCCGCGTAGTCAAGACCCGCTCGCATGGCTTGCGACAGACGTTTGCGGAGGCCCGGGGCATGCGCCGCCACACCTTCCGCGGGAGAGGCGGCAGAAGGTGAAGAGGAGAGTGAAGCGGAGCTGAAAATCGATCCACCCAACCGCCACACCCACCCAACGTACGGGTCGTACCAGTCCGACAGGGACCATGTCGTGGATAATGTCGGAACAGAAGTCGTTCCCCCAACATTCTCCTGTGACATGCTGTCATCATGAGAGTCACGTCGCCGCCACGGCCACGATCGTCCTTCCTGCTCCTGGCGCTCTTCATGCTCTTCTCTCTTGGCACACCGGCTGCAACGCAAAAGCTTGTACTGAGTGCCAACATCTTTGATGGTGATGCCGACAGATGTACGGCCCATGGAGTGAGAGAGTCGACAGGTAAGGCCAGAGACTTGTTTGAACGGTCGCCAGCCAACACCGAAGTCCAACTCGGTGCGGTGCCAGGTGATGAGGTTCATTCGCAGACGTGCGGCCAGATCGAGAGAGCTTGTGGTGGATGTGATGGAGCAGCACGCGCGACGAAGCACGTCCACATGCGTAGAGACAGTTAACGCCCTACCAAAGTGAGCACTACAGCCACAGTACAAATTCACACCACTCGCTAGGTCGTTTTTTACGGCCAAGCCTGCCCCGCATCGGAGCTCCTCCAGACGCCACCACCTGTAGCCTTCCCCGCCGTGTGAGGTGGTCTGAGAACTTTTCCTCGCCAGATGACTCAATGCCGTTGTGTCGCGACTCTTACGTCTTTTGGAGATTTGGCCTCCGTCGCTATCGGGTGGAGTTTCATCATCATCAGTAAGGTGATGATGATTATTCTTGTTGTAGGTTTGATTATTATTATTATTATTATTATTATCAGCAGCAGCCCTCGGGCGTTCCGTTCTGTGGGGACTCTTCACAGCACGCGGGTGTGCGTGGTGCTCATCTTGCCCGGAAATTGCCGTGTCCCCACGTGACGTCAAAGTTACCGGGGGTGTCGGTGGCGGATTGTTCTTCGCGGCACACGACTGTGCCGCGTTCACATCGCCATGAGACGAGAGGGCCGAATCCGCCGGGGAGTTCAATGAAATCAAAGAATCCCGACGACAATGACGTCCACGCCGAACAAAGACGCGGCAGAAACCACTCCAGTTGAAGAGCAGTCGATCCACTTGCATCGACCAATCCGTTCTGGGAGTCATGCCGATAAATTCACAGAGAGGCAACGATGCCGATGGCCACGAAAAGCAGACAACGTTGAACACACCTGCCCACTGCATCCGACCCCAAATACACTCCAGCTGTAGCACGTCCGATGCGTAAATGGAGGCACGCCCAGTGGACGGTGAGACACATGACGTCCCAATGGAGGATGCGGGGGATGAGGCGCCACCTGTGACACCAAAACCCGCAAACAGTCCTGCGTTCAAGCTGAGACTCCCACGTGTAACCAAGGGCACCACTGCGTAGGAATTCAACAAAAACAAACGACGTTGGCCCAACCAAGGATACATACGCTTGTGGCTGGATCGCACTTCCCGTGGGCCACCATCGGGCATGGAGGCACCTGTGGGACCATGTGCCTTCTGAGTTGCCTCCAAAGACACAGTTTCGCTGCTACCGGTCGCATAGGGACTTTCCACGGCATGTGAGCGAGACATCAACTTCCCCATTTTGTCCTCATTTTCCCCATCCCGAGCGGGTTTACTCCCTTTTCTATTTCCCATGGTATTTGTAGACTCACCTGAGGATGATAAACCAGACGATAAATCAGAACTCACCTGACCATCACGACGCGTAGGTGCCCAGTCAATAATCGCCGCCGCCACAGGAGATAATTGAATATCAAAGCTACGGTGTAAATAAAGTTGATATGACATTGTCAATGCCTTTTCTACCGGCTCTTCCTGCACACAAACCTACGTTTTTTCTATGTGAATAAATATCAACAAGTAATAATAATAATAATAATAATAATTTTATTTATTTATTAATTTATATACACGTCTGTGGTCCTTTAACGTTCTTGTGTCTCCTTTTCCCCCCCCCGTCCCTCCTCCTCCTCTCACCCCCCACAAGAAGCCGTTTTTCCGTTTCCGGTCCAACTGTTCTTCACCAACTTGTTGTTTCAAGAAAAAAAAAAAAAAAATAACACGTCAAAAATTAATGCGTACATGCATGCCTACCGACCCACGCGTACACAATACGCACAGCAAGGCAAAGAAAAAGGACCTCCCCCTCCCTTTCGGTTGCGGGAAAATCCGGGACGCCACATGTTGTGTGCGCATCCTACACACACACACACACACTTCCCTCCCTCATGACAGGAAATCGCATAACATCAATCAATCAACCAAAAAACAAAAAAAAAAAACAAAAAAACAACAACAAACAAACAGACAACAACAAAAAAAGGAAATACATTTTATATGTAAAGCC